TGAACATTGAATGTGAATATAAATGTTGAATAATGCATGATGAATAATTTTTAATAATTATTGATTATCTGAACGTACTGAACATTATGTGCATGATATCAAATGATTTGATTATGAATTTAGATTCAGTTTATATGGATGTTCGATGCATTAGATATGCTTACTCAGCTTCAACGCTGAGCGTGTAGTATGTTCTATTTGCTACACGCAGGTTAATGAAGTGTCGTGATCCTGGATGCAGACGGAGGCGAGATTGTCGGAATGGATGTGATGATTTTGAATTAAAGAACATAAATAAATTATGTTTGTGATTATGATTGTTAAGCTTCCGCAATATTGAAAACTCCGTACTGTTTATATTATGAAAAATATTATTGTGATAAATAAAAGTGTTTGAAATGTTTTAAATTTTTACGATTACCAAGTTAATACTTTAATCTGAAAGGGGCTGCAGACCTGGACAAATTAGGGTGTTACAACTACAATTAAAGCAAATTTTGAAATGAAGAAAACGTAATTATATTTGTTGATATATGAAAGTTTATCCATCCAAGACTGTCGTAGCGAGTGGAGGAATAACATCTCACCAAGCACATTGTTTTCATTCAGTGTATCTTTGTGCAAAACAAAAAGGAACAATGCCAAAGAATATTCACCACAAATGCAAATTAAAAAAGTTGTCCACTATTTGACCAAATTAAAATTTCATTGCAGAAACAAATTGACTGGTATGACTTATGAGAGTTATTTGTCATGAAAGTTACTCCGTATATAACTAAGCCCCATCATATATACCGCCTGCACATAATTGATTGCATTTTAGAATCAATCAAAATTATTTCTCATGAAAGTTATATAATTTTCTTATTGTGGAAAAGTGATAAATTAAAGGGTTATGCCCCTCACACCACTGGGTAGGAACGGAAAACAATCAGTGGCGGAGCCAGGATTAGGGGTAGTGGGTGCGCTATACCGGGAGCTTGTGAGTCGTGCCCCGAATATTTATTTAAAAAGATAATACGGATTATAAAACAATAAAAAAAATAATGAATTTTATGTCAACCTAACATTCATATAATTTAAATGTAAATATTTTAAGAAATATTATATACTCAATTTCTTCATCAAAACTGTTAATTTATAAAACAAGTGTTGATTTGAGCATAATCTTCATATTAATTTAATAAAAAACAAAAAATATTAAAAATAACACAAAATTAGTAGAAAAAAAATCATATTATCAATTGATGTGGCACATCTCCACTATACACCCTTTGTCCCCACTGCTCTGCTCTACTCTGTTATATATATATATATATTAAAAATAAAAATTGGAGTGACTGCAATTGCAGTCAATTGCTCCTCTTTGGCTCCGCCACGGAAAACAATAATCCTCACCACAATCTGGTCCTCTGCCAAAAATGGATTTAGAAAACATTCAATATTGCCTAGTGAAAATCAAGATTTTAGAGATCAGAATGACAAAAGTCAGACACATCATCTCTTTGAGAGAAATGCAGATTTATTAGTTGGATGCCATGCTAGCACCTCACCCAGAAGCCATTCCGCTACAGTCTTCAACCGCCTCTCCTCCCATGACAAAGCCCGTTGAAATCAATTTCTTATCCATGTGTTATCCTGTGTAGAAGCAGATGAGTGGATGAGATGAGGAAAAAATGATACGTAGATGGGTCTAAGAGGTTTTTCCCATTTTCCTCTTCTTGATGTATAGAGATAGATAGATGGACCTAGATACATCATCAGAGAAGATGCACTGTAAATAGTCCGAAACATCTTCACGTGTCCAAAGCGCCCATTCAATTCACTATAGAGAAGATTTGATAATTGAGGAGCTTGATTATCCCATAATTTTGGACTGATGTTGGACAAAATGGGCGGGAAACAACATATACTATTTCATTTTCTTTTTATATATAATAGGATAGGATAGGATATTTGAACATTAATAATTTATCATCTTTTTCCCAATTATTGATTATTTTTATATTTTATTACCTCTATCGTTAGATAAAATTTTTGTTGTGGGTCACACTAGTTAGAATTAGTATAGAAAAAAACCAAATTTATGTATTTCTAATTTTTCTCTCGAAGCAGTCAGTCATTTTCCATCTGCACTGGGGAGCAGTTAGATGTCGATATTGTATGCTTTGGTGGGCAGGGGGACGACTGTGCTGTCGGAGTTCAGCGCCGTGACGGGGAACGCAGGGGCCGTCGCGCGGCGGATACTGGAGAAGCTTCCGGCGGAATCGGAGTCCAGGCTGTGCTTTTCTCAGGATCGATACATCTTTCACATCCTCAGATCCGATGGCCTCATCTTCCTTTGTATGGCCAACGACACCTTCGGCAGTGAGTTCCCCCAATCCAAACTTTCCATTCTTCTTTCTCTCGAAACAGGAATTGAAATTGCTTGTTCGATTTACTATCCAATTATGATAGGGATTGTCCTTCCTAGTAGGTGAGTCAAAGCTAGATAGCAGTGATTGAAAATTTGTGCCATCCATGTAGTGAAATTGCTTGCTTATTTAGGGTTTGGGTTTCTCAAATCATTTTCTTAATTCAGTACTTTTAGGTTTAGTTCGCCTCAAAATAGCAATTAGAACTAAATTATTCAACTTTCACTTCAGTCCAACACTCCAACAATTCCTAGTTCACTAAATTTCAGTTGAATATAGCTTACCGTAATGCTTTGAACAAATATGTGTAGTGCTGTGTACTTGTCTATTTCGTTTGATGTCCTAAGATTTAGAAAGCAATTATATTGTATATCATTCGTACGCGCACACAAGCCTGAAAATGTTCACCCCAAGACTGTCCATTTTAGTGTCTAAATTTGATTCTGACTCCAGAACTTTCACTCACGATTTAGTTAGTTATGTACAACGAGTTGATTATGCCTCTTTCACCTCAAATATAATTACAAATTCAAATTAAGTCCATGGTTCCTGCTCAAGATACATGTGGTTTCGGTTCAAAATTTAAGGATTTTGTGTGTGTATCCTATTTAGTGCTCCCTCCATCCCACTTGTTTCTTTACATATTCCATTTTTTCCTGTCCCATTTGATTCTTTACACTTACGTATTAGGTTGTGAAAAGTATAAACAAATACTACATTGTAATCAAGTCAATAACGCTAAAAAAGATCAGATTGGATCTTATTTTATTAAGATCTAATCTGATCTAATTCTAGTTATATTTAAAGTTATTTATAATCGGATCTAGTCTAATAAGATTCAAAAAGAACAAGTAATACTCTGTTAAATAAAAGAATAAGTTGAATATGAAGATACTCGAAGTGCCTATGCTCATCAACAAATATGTTATATTGAGTGTTTTTTGTGCTGGTTCTTATTGACTTATTGCTGGTAAATAAATTTTAACTTATAAGCTGTATATATGTTAAATATTCTTTGGTGGAAGTAAATTGACTTAAGTGATAGATTAGTCATTTGTTGGATATTCAACCCAACACCCCACCCCAAATTTACACCACCCCCTTTTTTCTTTCTATTATATACCCACACTATCAATTTTCAATCACTGTTCCCTTTCACTTTTTGGTTGCATAAAAAATCAATCACTATTCTACTTAAACACCGTGAAACCTTCTCTGTCAACAAATAAGTGGTATGGAGGGAGTATATTATTTTGATTGAGAATGTAGAAAGTTGACCAATTTTGAAGTAAAGGACCAACTGTGTATCATGCAAAAGTTGTAGACTTGATGTGGAATTGACACTTGTTTGAAGGAGCAGTAGAAGGGCAGTCCAAATATTAATAAGTAATGAGCAGAAAATTGCAAGTACCCCTGATGCCGAATTCTTAATGTTTTTTTTTCTTTTTGAAAGTCTGAAATTCTCTTCATTTCCAACTTTTCCCTCTATAGCCTAAAGATTTTGCAGTTTGGCATAATTTTTAAGAAATAAGAAGACTGATTCTTGGGATATGGAAACCAAACGCAAAAGACATTACAAGCAGATTTCACAATGCATTGTTGATTGCTTCCCGGTGGCCACTACTTAGAAAGGCCAAATTAGCTTTATGGATTTATGCACAATCTTCCGGTTTATCTGTTTACATAAATATGTACTCAACAACAACAACCCAGTAGAATCCCGCAACAACAAGGCTACTTAAATATGCACTCAGTTATTAATATGTGTAAACTGATAATGTGGTGCCAAATTGGATCAATATAAGGCAAGAATACGTCAATTTCAGATTTTCTTTTGACCATCCAGTGCCCTTTTTTCCCCTACAAAATCTATTTCATCAGTTCTTAACTTATGAGAATGTTAAATTTCAGGCTCAAGTATGGCTATTTTTTCCATTTCCAAAAATATGTTCTACTCTTGAATCTCATTTAATTGTATTTAACCAATGTCTAAGAAGACTTATTTTCTCTCATGTGAACTAGGAAGGATACCATTTTCATATCTGGAGGATATTAAAATGAGGTTTATAAAGAATTATGGTAGGATTGCTTCCCAGGCACCTGTTTATGCCATGAATGATGAGTTCTCTAGGGTCTTACATCAACAAATGGAGTTCTTTTCAAGCAATCCCAGCCCAGATACACTTAATCGTGTTAGGGAAGAAGTTGGCGAGGCAAGTATATTTTGTGTGAACTTTTTTAAAGGGAACTATATTAGTCTTGTGTTTCTGTGTGCATTTGACATCCTCTAAAATATGTTTTATTATCATTATTCTGGAATGTCAATCCAGTTGCGGTCCATCATGGTTGACAACATTGATAGAATACTTGAGAGAGGTGACCGTATAGAGCTTCTTGTTGATAAAACAGCAACCATGCAAGGCAATTCATTTCACTTCAGAAAACAGTCAAATCGGCTCAGACGAGCTATTTGGATGAAAAATGCTAAGCTTATGTAAGTCTGATTTTGTCATTAAACAAGAGCTATTTGAGTGTCTCACTTCTAATGTTATTCAGAGCACAAGTTATCGTTTGGACTTGAAATTATTTTCTGAGATTTTTTGCTCTAAAATTCTTTGTTTTTTTCAATTCATGTGACAGGGCCTTGATGACTTGCTTGATTCTAGTCCTCCTGTACTTGATAATTTCATCTTTCTGTGGGGGCATCACTCTACCATCCTGCAGAACTTAACAATACCAAGAGTCTTTGGTGACTCCAAACAGAGGCATGTAGGGTGCTTGTGAAGAATAATAATTACTCCGTATTATTACCGTAAGCAGTAACTTCTTGGGATGGGTAAGATCTTTGTTGGGGATGAATAAGGTAACTTTATTTTCTGAATCTGTGTAAATTCTGATGATTCTCTCACAACTTTCTTTTTTTGTTCTTTTGTTTGTATTTCTGTCTCTCTGTGTAAGTAATATATAAATCTGGTGAAAGGATTGAAATGGAAGACAAGAATGGTGTGCTTATCAAACATTGGACCCTCAAACGTCAAAAGTTCAAAACTTTGACTTTGCTAGCTTCATTGACATTTGACAATAGACAAAAAAAAATAGAGGAATTTTAAAAAATAATACTCCCTCAGTCCCATTTTATAGTGTCTGTTTTGCTTTACGATGTTTGACTGGAATTATTTTCAAATCATTTTATATGACAAATGTTATAGAGTTAAAAAATAAAAATTACATATTAAAATACTACATCAAAAGATCTACAAAACTAGTAGTGACAATAGTACTTTATTTTATCAAATTACTAACGAAAATAGAGAAAGAAAGTGAATGAAGTTTGACCCTGTGAATAGTAAACATGCATTATAATTTGGGACGGAGGGAGTAATAAATAATACTCCTCATTTCCAAAATGATTTATTTCTTTACCATTTTAGTTTCTCGATAGTTTTGTTTGTTTGAATGCTTTCATTGATCATTTGATAAAAGAAAAGTTTCTTTTGTAGAATTTTTATTTTGTTTTTGAGTATTTTCTATATTGTAATTTTGATTATTTGTAAATAAAACTATTTTAAAAGTCGCGAGATTTTACATGTTGATTGAAAAGGTTTATTCATTTTACAATGAAGGGTTTATCAAATGATTCAAATCACACAAATTAAGAAAATTAATTTTTTGGGACGACAAATGATAATTTATTGGGATCAAGTGATACTCTGTACATATTACGACGAAGATGGTTTAAATTTTAATCATTTTTTGAAAGGTAATCTTTTATCAAAAGAGAAATGAGCCATTTTAAATTTGTACATAAAAAATCTCAAGTTAAGACATTGTCAATGATCTTTCAACCAAGTCTAATTCTACTCTTTGGCACAAATATTATTTATATTCTTGAGAGTCAGAAAGCAATATATTCACAACTCCTAGAAAAACAAATTACTATCTTGGCTTGATATCCAAAAATCCAATTTTTAAAGATTTATATGAATGTTTACCCAATTTTACATCACAGTGGGGTAGGTTTATAGTGAAGCAAATGCATTGACTCTTTATAAGAAATATAATACTACCTTATAATTGAGGTCAATAAAACTCAAAAAAAAAATTACTATCCTAATCCAATGTCTTGGAAAATTCTTACAAAATTTAACCTACTTACGGAGTAAAAAATGGAGTATTCGAAACTAGAATGTCGAGTTTTAGTTGTTCATTTTGTAGGTTTGTAGATAATTAGAAGAATAATAATATATATAGTCTTGAAGTATTTGTCTAATTTATTATGGAATATTTCAGTTGGCTCTCACAAATAATTATTTATTTCAGTTGTTCATATTTCAGAATTATATGTGTGGTTCGATATCATTGTCTCTTTTAATTATTTCTTTCGTCTTGGAGCATTTGTCTAATTTATTTTTTAAAAACAAATTTTAATAATCAATTAAATAAAAGTGACGTTACATGTTAATATAAAGAAATAAATTTTAATTTTCTGCATGATAAATCTAATGGAATATACACGCGTATTAGTATATATATAGTCTATATGATATATTTTTTATTTAACTGATAATAAAAATTTATGCAATTTAATTTTTTAAAATTCATTTAATTTGACTAAAAATAGTGAAACTAAACGAATATTTTAAAAATGGATAATGAATAACATCAATAATTTTTTGAAACATTGTGAAGACAGACTAAATTTATTTTTTTCATTGGATGGAGGGAGTATTTGTTTATTATCTACCAAAATATGAGTAAAAAATAGAATTGTGCTTGAAATCTATCATGATTATTCATGACAATTATAGATAATTTTACACATAATAATCTTAGGAGCGTCTAAATTGACACCCGTTACTTATACACCAGTTGCTTACACCAGTTCGTTTGAGATACCTACGATGCACCGTTTGTAAAATCGACGGTTCCTACCCTCTCTAACCCTCCCCTAAACCCTTACCCCAGCCCACTCTTGACCCCCACCCCAGCCCCCTTCCTACCCTGCCAAGTAAAAGTGGGACTGGGTTGGGGGTTTAGGGGGAGGGTTGGAAGTATAAGAATCATCTTTTTTACAAAGTGTAAAACAAATGACACCATTAACATGTCATTTCAGACTTAGCCATCATCTTATTTGTGTATAGAGATTGTGGTGGGTTAGTGACATTCTTTTTTTCTTTTGCGTTTATGTAAAGCCTCTCTTCTTGTTCTTGACTGAGTTCTCTTCCCATAGATTTCATCTGTGTTACTTACTATACACACACAAATCATATCTGTAATTCTGTATAATTGAATCGAGTGGAATGGATCTGAATGGTGTTTTGTAGGGTTTTAAGCGAATCCAGTTGCAGAAGATGAAGCCGATTCAGCTTCCGGAACCGCCTCAAAGTCCCCGCGCCATCGGGGGCATGCCGGAGATCTTCCAAAGCGGAGTCTACGGCGTGATCAGACGGGCGGTGATTATCGGCAACGGCTTTCCGGCCTCCGAGAATCAGAGCATTGGCCTTGTCCGGGCGCTCGGCCTCTACGAGAAGCACACGCTATACGTGAGTTCAGCTGATTTTTTAGCTTCCGAAATTGATTTTTCTCAGCTTTTAGTTCATCAGCTTAAGTAAACCGTAGGAAATTAGGGTTTTTTTGTTGTTCTGAGACTGTTTTAAATTCTTTACTGCTGATTGTTTGGGAGTGTGCTACTAGAAGGGCACAAAGTTGATTAAATCTACATATCATTTGAGTGAACGTGAAAAGAACTCGAAATAAGTACTGAATTCATCTGGTAACAGACTTTATCTGAAAGAAGAAACTCATTTGGGTGGTAAAAGAATGAATTTTGAACTTGATATTGGTTTTATGATGAGTTAAGCATTCATATTCCAATGGGTTATACTTCCTTGCAAGTTATTTAGTCTGACCAGCTGTGATTCGCTTGGGAAGAGAGGAAATGGAATATTAGTTGGACCCCATCCTAGTGTAACAGGTTGCGAAGTGCCCATGATATGGATGCCATTTTGAAACCCCCCCAAAAAATGTCATTGTGCTGTTTAGTGAAGATGGAAGTATGGGAAGCATTTGTATGAATTTGGGGTTGGGTTGGGATTTTATACTTAGTTTTACCCATTCCATCACCTTAACACTTTTTCATTGTCAATAACATGCAGCGAGTTACAAGGCCAAGAGGAGGAATAAATGAATGGCTAATTTGGCTCCCAGTCTCTCTACATAAAAGGATATATTATTTTGTGAACTTAATATTTGGTTATTCACACTTTCTATTGGGAGTTAGGGGTAATAAATTGGGTTCTTTTTCCCATGAAAACGGAACCGTTGGCCTTTCATCAATTCTTGAAGCTGATGTAAAGAATATAGTTAATCTTGCTCGTGAATCATTTGATAGGTAAGTTCTGTTTGTTCTTTTCGGTAGTTGGTTTAAGAGTTTCTTGCACCATTCAACACTTCACGTTTTCATCTAAATTGCTATTACTACTTCCAAAGTAATGATGCTGACGTGGGTTCATATGTGAAATTGATAAATTTAACTAGCATTATGCTATTACTTTATTCAATAAAATTCTCTTTCACTAGGTCCGGTTAAATGAATTTGAAAGGGAAAAGAAAAAAAATGAGATGGAAAATAATTTTTCTTGTTTGGTTTGAGGGGAAAAGAAAAGAAAAGTGGAAGGAAAAGAAAATGAAAAGACAATATACAAAAAAGAGAGAATACTATTTCCTTCCATTTTGGCTAGGTAAAGGAGAGAAGCCTTTTTATTTTCCTTTCGTTCCTAATTCCCCAAACCAAACATAGCCTTTCAGTTTGTCCTTTTCTGGCATGCTTTCATGAATTTCAACCTGAATAGATTCCCTTGCAAATGTGACTCTGATGTGTAGATGTTATGGTTATTTTTCAGGGATGGTCCTTTACTGGTGGTTGCATCTGGTAGAGATACAATATCAATTGCAAGCTCCATTAAGAGATTGGCATCGGAAAACGTGTTTGTTATTCAGGTTTGTTAGCAAGCACCTTATCATTTTGCATTTCATATCGTTTTTCTTATTCAGGTTTGTTTCATAATTGATACCGAGTATTTATTTGCAATGGAGTATTTATTTATGTGGTATGCAAGAATTGTTTGACATTTTTTAGAGAAGAGTTCATTTTTCATTTCAATTTTCACATTTTCCTTCAGATTCAACACCCAAGGTCCCACTTGGATAGGTTTGACCTGGTTATTACTCCAAAACATGACTATTTTCCCTTGACATCTCAAGCAAAAGAGCAAGTCCCTTGTCTCCTTCGTCGGTGGATAACTCCAAATGAACCTCCGGATAAGCATGTAGTAAGTATGCATACCATTGACATTTTTTTAATACTGATTTTTTAGAATTATAGCAAAGTTACTATCGTCTGTGCTCTTTTCCGATGTATTGCGAAGATCCTTACAGTTGGAGCCCTTCACCAAGTTGATTCAGCTGCACTTCGGGCTGCAGCTAATGCATGGAACGACAAGTTTGCACCTTTACCAAAACCCTTGCTGGTGGTCAACATAGGAGGGCCTTCAAGTAAGCTTCTTTCCATCTTTGTCCAATACTAGAATTTCAATTATTCAACTCATATGTCAGTATATCACTTCATAACGGACTACTGTAAAGAGCTTTATTTACAATAATTGTGTGGACAGAACATTTGTTATCTATTTTAACCAAAATATGTCAATCAGAACGGAGTAGTGACTGTGCTGACTTGTTTAATCTGGTAGTGTATTTTTGACTTTATAACTTAAAGCGTGTTTGTTATGGAAGTGCTTGTGTTAGTAGTATGATTGAGGTCTAAGTCATGTTAAATATCCTTTTAATCAAATACATTTGGATTCATTGTTTCTTGCCTATTTCTAAAAATACTATTTTTATTCTTTTATGTCATGCTCTTTTTTTTCTTCTTTCAAATTTATGAAATAAATTACATACTTTATCCATCCCTCAAAATGGTTTCACAATGAAATTGGCACGGAAGTTAAGAAAGGTCAAATTGTGTAGTTGGAAATGATGTAGATGAGAGAAATAATATAAGTCACAAGTAATTTTCCTTAACTAAAAAGTAGAACATTATTTTGTGACAAACAAAAAAAATGCGGGACCTTTTTATGGGAGAAAGAGAGTATTTTACATGTCCATTTTAGGCTATACTACGTTTGATTCATACTATATATAATGCAAATGTATGATTTGCATAAGAACTCAAATGTATGTTCATGGACGCCATAAGTTCGTTTGTTACAGTCGCATCGTTGCTGGATTGAGAATTTCAGAGTGATGAGTTTATAATGATATTGTCAATTGAGAAATGAGTCATTAGCATACAAACTCGAAGTAAAATTTGAGTGCATGTGCATGTGATGTGTTTTCTTTGATCAGGGTACTGCAAATATGGTGTAGACCTTGCCAAGCAGTTAACAACGTCTCTGCACAATATTCTTGAGAGATGTGGCAGTGTAAGAATAAGTTTCTCGAGGCGGACTCCTGAAAAGGTATTATATTTTGTAACAATCACTTTCCCGTGGGGAATTAGTATCTCTAAAGAATTTTGTTAACATATTATACTCTATACTATCATATTTATAGCACGGCACGGCTGCACAAGGGGCGTATAAACCCATTTTGTCAATTTATTAACTCTAATGCCTTAGGGTATTTCTTCTTTGAGCTACAGATTTACAAAGTTATAATCAAGGAATTGGGCACTCATCCAAAAGTATACATTTGGGATGGTGAACGTATGTGTTTTCACTCGCCTTTTGCATTCTAGTTTATCTAAGGATGATAATTTATGGATGGTCAATTAAATCCTGTTTTATGGTGTCATAGAGCCAAATCCGCATATGGGGCATCTGGCATGGGCTGATTCTTTTGTCATAACAGCAGATTCAGTTAGCATGTTGAGTGAAGCTTGCAGCACCGGGTATGCCTTATAATAACAATAGTAATAATAATAATAATAATAATAATAATCACACATATTACTGTATAACACCCGTCTCTCTGTGATTGGATTGAGCTGATATTTTATTATAAACAAATGCTATGTGTCGTTCCACAGGAAGCCCGTGTATGTAGTTGGAGCTGAGTACTGTAGGTGGAAGTTTGCAGAATTCCACAAAACATTGAGGGAAAAAGGGCTAGTCAAGCCATTTACCGGTCTTGAGGATGTGAGTAACAGCTCTCCCCCTATCTCTAAGGGTCTGTTTCGTTAGGGAGAATGCGAGGGAAAACGAGCCCCCCTCCCCCCATTTTGGAGAAGAGCCGCCGGGGAAGGGTTCTAAAATTTGCCCCCATCACAATTTGTGGGCACATTAAGAATCACTATTTTTTTGCCTATATGTGTGCTTCGACCGAAATCTGTTTTCGTCCGTTTGAATTCAAGTTTGTGGTTTGATTTTGTTCAAATTACCTATATAACCTCGTCTGATGTTTTTTTCACTTGCCGTAAAACTTCATCAGATGTCAAAGACATGGAGTTACCCTCCACTAAATGATACCGCAGAAGCAGCAAATCGCGTAAATGAAGCACTCGCGCAGCGCGGATGGATGATCAAAGCATAAAGATAAGATATATAAATATAAGAACATTTGTTGTACACATTTTTTTTTGTTTTTTTTCATGCTGTAATGTCATGCAATTGCATGACACTAAAGAAGGAAGAAAAAAAGGATGGTATATAAGTTTTGGGTTGAAGCCTACTACATAGTAGATATGTTCATTCTTTTTACCAATTTGAGTTTTCAAGCATCCTCCAAGTATACACACTTGCATAGTATGCTGTGTTTTTTACTGTGCTGTAATTTTGATTCAGAATGGTAGTGCTAGCTGCTTAGATGGGTTTGGTAATGTTGTTTTATTGTACCAATGAATTGTAGTTTTGATTATTCTATACCAGTATTCTTTTTTATATTTATATCGGTGGGGTTCTAGTGACACCCACTTTTGGTGACACAAGCGGTGCTACTATCATTTTGGAGCACTTCCAGTGCTCCGTTTCTAAAATTGACAGTTCTTATTCCCCCTAACCCACTCCTTAAACCTCTGCACCCTACCTCTGCCTCTGCCCGTTTGCAAGCATTGCATAATAGCCATGCATTTTGTGGGGGGGGGGGGGCAGCACGGCGGGGTTGTGGTGTAGGGGCGGAGGTAGGGTGGGTGGCCAGGGTGGGTTGAGGGGGATAGAAATTGTTAATTTTACAAATAGAGCACTGGAAGTGCTTCAAATGATAGTGGCACCGGAATGTCACCGTACTCTAGTGTCATTAAAACCCCACTGTATTTATATACTCCGTATTTATTTATTACTGTAGAGTAGCTTTTTTGACGGTAAAAAATAGAGGGATAAATAATGTTGAACGTGGGGAGTAAAAAGTTCACACCCTAGTAAACTTCACATTTAAAAATCACTCTTTAGGTCAATAGTTATTTTTTTTCTTTATTTTCCTAGGGAGTAGTAATAAACTTCCCTAAGGAGCTGTGTGGTTGCCATTTTGTTTTGCCTTTTTTAAAAAATAAATAAATTTCAACTACTAATATTGCTCCAATAAATAATTAATTCCTCTATGATGAATCGTGTATATACGGTATATATATGAACTGCATTGAAATAAAATTTGTACCCCGTGATTTAAGAGCTGAAATCATGGAGACCAAAATGGAAGATTGAAAAACTAAAGTGCTCACTTTGATGTACATTACTTAGTTGCGTTACAGATATACATAGACAATAATTATTTGCGTACACACATACAACGTACAAACATAAGTTACGGAAAAGCAAAACATAATAATAGGAAAGATTAATTCGGGACAGAAGAAATATTAAAACATACATTTTAATATATATATATATATATATATATATATATATATATATATATATATATATATAAGTTGAAAATTAAAGTATAAAAATAGGAAAATGCAACGTGTGGACTTATCCTATGTATGGTTCAAAAAATTAGAAAAAGAAAAGAAAAAAAAAGATTGAAAACAATTTTTTCTTTTTAATTAGAGAGAAAAAGAAAATAGAAAAAAAAAGAGAAAACAAAACAAACTAAGAAGAAAAAAACACAATTTCTTCCATTGGCGAAGAAAAGAAAATTATTTCCTTTTCTTTTACTTCCTAAATCATTTTGGTGACCTTACTATTTTTTTCTCATAATGCCAAACTTCAAGTTAAAGCTTCAAAAGCCCCCACCATAATCTGCCCCTTTCTCTGAATGGAAGTTTGAAACACAGGTTTCCATCAAAAACTTTAAGCTCTGATTTGCATGCCAATCATTCCCCCAAATCCAATAAACTTACCAAAAATATAAATTCCCCAAAATGGCAAGAAAAAGAAAAAAAAGAAAAGGAAAAAAAAAGGTCTTCTCTGCCTCTCAATAATAATCAATCAATAATACAGTAATAAATAATTAATTATTAGAATAACAAATTAAATACTCTGTCCATTTTTTTCTTCCTTCCACCCTGTTCTTTCTTCCCCTACTTTTTGACTGCTATATATAATGCCACCATACCCACTGCATTTTTTTTCTTCAAACACCAAAATTCCCCAAGAATATATGGAATAATTACCCCATCTCTCCCATTTCTACCCTTTTCAGCATTTAGATCTAACTTACTTTAGTGGGTAAATAAATTCTTGATTGTCATGATGGGTAAAAAAACAGAGTCAAGCAATATATGTTCCCATAAAGTTTGATTCTTGATCCTTGTTGGTAGATTATCTTTAAAGGGAAGTCTTTTTTTCTGGGTTTGAAGATCAGAAGGAGATGATGGGGGCAAAAGGGTCAGAGAGTGAGATAATGTTAATGGAGAGAATGGGCTCAGAAAACGGGTCGGGTTCGTCAAGAAAGAAGGATGAAGACCATAACCAGAAAATGGGGAGGAGAGAGAGGAGCTGTTGGAAGTCTTCCAAATCTTGCTCCTCTTCTAAGCCCTCTCTTCTTTCTGATCCTTTTTACAGTCCCATTTCTGAGGTCAATTTTTTTGATCTCTCTGTCTTTTTTTTTTTTATGAACTCATGAATTTCTGGGTTTTGATCTTTGGGTTAATTTTCTTTTTCTTGTTGTGTTTTTGGAATGTTTGTTTTTGGCAGAGAATGGAAAGATCTAAAGTTGATCATCAAATGGGACATAGCAGAAGAGCTTCAACCAGTTCTAATCACAGGCTTCTGCAGAGTGATCATCATTTCATGGAGGTGCCAAATCTTTTCTCTTCAATTTTCCATTTCAAAGTTTTGATTTTGTTTCTTTTAATTGTCAAGAATCTTACACACTTCTCATGCTTCAAATCTGCAACTTTAAAAAAATTAATCTATATGGCACATTTTTAAAGAGGAGATAGAATAATAATTGGAAAATAAATCTTTAGAATAACAATTGGAAAATAAATCTTTAGGGTCGGTTTGATATATAGAATAAATTGAATTAGAATTGGATTGAAATATAAATTCTATTGAATTCAATTCCATAGAATTGAATTCACCGATTCCAATTCATTTTTTACACTATCAATTCCAAATCCACATAATTTTTGTGCTACCAAACACCGGAATTGGAATTAAAGTTTTCAATTCTAATTTCATAGTTTGAATTCCGTGTACCAAACGAGGACCTATATTCTACTCCCTCCGTTCCTCAAAACTCTTCCTCTTCCGTTTTTTTATTTTCACAAAACACTTCCACTTTCTATTAAAAAAACCACTTTTACCCCTACTTTTTCATACCCTACCTATCACATCATACTTTTTCTCTAATAACCAAACTATCACATCTTACTTTTTTCCCATCACATCAGGGGCAAAATTAGAAAGTCAACTAAAATTATACTTTCCTTATTTTTCTCCAAAGTCAAAACCGGAAGGGTTTTGTACAACGGAAAGAGTATATAATTTTAATATGAGTCGAACTTGAGTTTAATTATTTTTGCGGTACTCTACTTTTTCGACCAGCTGAGCTACGTCCCCAATGATTTCCCCATTTTAGAACATTGGTAATACGTAGCCATAAGTGTCCATTAAGGGGCATCTATGAATTGAAGAAAATATTGACTTCGAAAACGTAGCTCAAGTGATTAACAAGGGTAATATTTTGCTCATATTTGACTATTAAGGAAGATAGCATTTGGCATTTATGTTTCAGATCGGATTATTACTCCCTCCGTCTTTATTCTGATTACAAAATGGAAACTACGTAAAAATTTTACGATTTTTGAAATCATTTTATTGACAAATTGATACATCAATAAGAAATAAAAAGTACATATTAAAAAACCACGTCCAAAGTTCTACAAAACCATAGATGACAAGAATATTTTATTTTATCAAATAATCAATAAAATCACACAAATAAATTAATATTATTGAGAAGAGAGAGAAAATAAAATTGTAATTGAAATGGGGACGTAGGGAGTACTCGTTAATTTGTTATTGCATCCCTACTAACTAGTCCAAATTCAAATTTCATTTATCTCCTTACGTATCACACTCCTCAATTATAAAATTGAGATTGTAATTCAATTTATCGTAATTATTTAAAAATAAAACTTATTACATATTTTAAAACTAATTCAAAAATTCAACAAAAAAATGATATGATTTTTTTAAAATATTTAATTAAAAAAGAGGGCATGATCTCTGCAATTAGGTTACCGCAAGTCCGCAACCACCTTTAATTTTGTTGTTTTCCGCCGTGGAATTATATTATGTGATGCTGCGACACCTCTACATATGAGTATATACTTTATCACAGGAAATGGACGACACATTAAAAACAAAAACTAAAAACTAAAAACANGGGCCCCCCCCCCCCCTCACAACCTTATCTACTTCAATTTGTTCATTCAATAATTATTATCTTCCTAGCTAATAACTTGATTTTTTTTAGTTCATACATTGTCACACTCACCATATTGTCATATTATAACTGACGTACTATCCCCGCACCCGTTGCTGCCGGCCACCAGAGTGATGGTGCAGATCGCTGACAGTTGACCGGTTAATCGCATTGTCATATTACACTGTCACTAGTTTTCAATCACACTGCCAACGCATGTTCTTACACCATATTGTCATTATATTCTTATTTTGGTCTTAAAAGACATATGCCTCCTATTTTATCAAACTTTTTTGCCACTGCTATTACTTTTTCATCAACACGTGTTCCTACACCACAGTGTCATTATGAGTTAGAAAAACAAATTACGGTAAAATGCAGGTTGATGAGAAACAAGAAACACCAAACAGGAATCCAAATCATCATCAGACGACCAGACATGCGCTGAAGGACGTGTGCCACAGCCTGACAACCTCAAAACAGCTACTCAAAGTGCTGAGCCGGGTCTGGAGCATCGAGGAGCAGAAATCAACCTGCATTTCCCTCTTCGCCACCCTCCGCTCCGAGCTCGACCGGGCGTGCCTCCAGGTCTCCAGACTCATCCAAGACCGGACGACGGCGGCGACCCAGGGCCACGCCGAGATCGACCTCGTCTTGAAGCGGTTCGAGGAGCAGAAGGCGGTCTGGCGCATGAAAGAGGAGTGCCGCATCCAGACCGCCCTCGCCTCCCTCCTCTCCGAGCTCAAGGCCGAGCGGAAGCTCCGGAAACAAGCCGAGCGGCTCAACAAGAGGCTCGGACGGGAGCTCTGCGAGGCCAACACGTCCCTCGCCATGTCCACAAAAGAGGTGATGTTAGAATATATTCTCTCTATCTGTTCCCTATATATCTTTCCATTACGCGTTATATACGAGGTTTGACCAATTTTGTTTTCAGTTAGCTTATTTGATTAGAAATAAAATCATATAGTAAAAAACTACATGAAAAATTTTACAAAACAAGAAGTGACAAGACTATTATTTCATTATCTTTTACTCCTATGTA